AGTATCCTGGTCTTGATTTGAAACCTATGATCCTCTCCATACCGTCATCATCCATCACCTTAAATTTCGCTGATGCCTCCGTGGCTGGTTACTCTATTCTTCAATAGCAGATCGAGAGCTACATTTGAGTAGGTCTGTCACCGAGGTAGTGCTCCAAAGAGCGCTGACTAGTATTTGGAGGCAAGTTAAGATGAACCCATTGTAAAACACAGCCACTCGTAAACCCTTCAGCCACGCATTCAGCCGCATCATAACGAAGGAAAGGAGTCAAGCAGAGCAGAAAAATGATTCGCCTCTGATTTGCTTCACGTAGGGTTTGGCGCAGATCTATCTTGAGTGTAGCATGGCGGTACCAAATTTCTACTTGATGTAGAGCATCGTGGACTGTACCCATCTACGCAGCGATCTTGATAACAGCCCGTCCAGCAAGCTTCCCTGCATTCATGTCTGCACAGAACCGATCAATATCCTCCAAACCACCATGAGTCAGAATCGGATGTACGAGTCCTCGCGAAGTAAAGTCGAGTGCCTACCCGCCCAGTTAGTAGCAGTCTCCCTACCTAGCTCGCGAGAATAACACTCACCTCCTCAACGTCCTTTAGCGTTCCTGTCACGCTTCCCACAACATTCAATCTCTTGAGGCACATCAGGATTGGACTAGCTCCCGCAATGATCGACGAATCTTTCGGTAGGCCTACACACACCATCGTGCCGTTGGGTCTCAGCAAGTTTGGCGCTTGTTCGTAGCCTGCTTTCGTTGCTGCGAAAACGATCACGCCATGAGCGCCATAAGTAGTAATCTTCATGATCTCGGAAGTGATGTCCGAGCATGTAGTGAAGTCGATAAACCTCTCGGCACCAAGAGAGAGGCAGAGATCGCGTTTGGCGTCGCCGCCGTCGATGGCAATAACGCGCATACCCATATGGCGAGCGTACTGAACACCAAAATGACCAAGGCCTGGGTGGTATCAGCATCATCTTATATGACGGTTTCAATTTCGTCGCTGCGAAAGACGGAAGAGGACACAAAAGCGCTATGCGCATACTCACCACCACCCGCTCCCGGAATGACAATCCACTGCCCGGGGAGTACTTTACTTCTCTTGCAAGCCACATACGCTGTAACACCACCACACATGATCGGGCCCGCCTCCTCATCTTTGACACCATCAGGCAATCTCGTCGCATATCTCGCATCCGTTAAGCAATACTCCTGGAACGTTCCCGCAACAGTAAATCCACTGTTCAGCTGCTTCGGGCAATGACATTCGTCTTGGCCATTAGTACAAAACTCGCATCGTCGGCATACAGACGCAATCCATTTGATACCAGCGCGATTACCAGGCTGCCAGAGATCCTGCACGTTTGCGCCAACGGCTACAACGATGCCAGCGCCCTCATGGCCTGCGATGCCTTTGGTACATTCGGCCATCTTGAAGTCCCACTCATCATGGAGCAGGGATTTGTCCGAGGCACAGAGGCCACTGTAGTTTATCTTGACGAGAATCTGGTCAGGAGCTGGTTCTGGGACAGGAATCTCCTTGATGGTAATCGTAGCGTTGTCGCCGGTGCCTTGTTTGATGGCCGCCTTTTGTGTTTTGGGGAGTTGCATAATGTTACTGTATTCGGGACGATGTGAAGAAAGGGAGTATGGCTGATTGAGGAACATTGAGTCACTCCGAATACACCTATATATGTATCAACACGGACACCCGGCACCCACTGTCCTATGTGCGGGGGTCCAACTTAACGGACCTTGTTCTTGGCCTTTGTACGGATAGTCGAAGGTTACTGATCGGGGTCGCAAAAGCATGAGCAGTCCGAATTCGGTACACAGATAATCCCTCTACCATTGTCAAGACGTTGCGTTCATAATCTACCGTGCATCGTCACCGAAGCCCTCGTGATCCTACAGCACTGCAACTCGGGAGACCAGATCGGATAAAGCACGTTCGTGTCAAGGTCTGCGGGGAGTATCCGCTGTGTATACGAACCGAGGATGAGGGGCACGCGAGACGGTGGACGTGCGGAGACGACTAACGATTAGCGTGCAAGGCGGGGTACAGACATGAGGTAGATTGGACATGAGCGAGCCGTTTGTGACAGAGTTGAAAGATTCGGGAAAACTAAGAGGAGAGAATTATTGGGTTGTTGCTGCTGCTCTCATGCTGCAATACTTGATGTCTACGAGGGGTTGAACCTCAGCTCGGGACGCCCCATGGCGCATTATACTCATGCAGCCTTCTTTCAAGCCTATACCGAAATTTGTACGCCGACCAGTGCAGTTATCCTCTGAACCCAGAACGCCGTGCCAAATTCAATGCTCCCATTCTTCTTACCATGCCGTGATATCGTCGACCTCAGCCTCACCAAACGTGCTGCTTTTGGTGGCGACCATACCAGAATCGCTTGTTGCGGTCTCTACGTTTGGTGTTCTATTCATGATCTCTGGAAGCTCGGTCTTGAGGAAGCCTAGTAAGTGTTCGTTTACCTGCTCAAATTCCAGGAGGAAGGCGTCGTGACCATCTGGAGAATCGATCGTCTTAAGTGTAGCCTTGGGAATACACGCGGCCAATTCCTTCTGTTCGGCAAATGTGAAGAGACCGTCCGATTGTATACCTAGTACCAGTGTAGGCTGTTCAATCAAGGAAAGCGCATAATGAAGGGCCGATACTGGATCTAGTGTGTCGGGTGTCTCGCCTTCAGGATAGCGGTAGCGGGATACATCATGCGTATCCAGCTTTCTTGTGATTGCGATGTAACAATTAGCGTCAAAACGCTTGATGAACTTGTCGGCCTGGTAACGGAGGTAGGACTGTGCTGAGAAGTAGTGCGGCGCAAGAGGCTTCGATGAGCGCGGGAATTGACTGTTGCTACTTGTCGAGCTTGACCTTTCGAGGTTCGGAGTGGCTGGGTCCGATGCATCATGGAACTCGAGGTCGGCATGTGCGGCTGCAGAACCGGGTATGGCGGTACTGCTGTTTGTCCGTGACATCAGACGCGGCGAGCCAGCGTTCTTGTGACCGTGGTTGTGTATTGCCCAGTGTTCATGGGAGGGATTGGACGGAGTGGTCGGTCGCGGTACAGTATTGATGCTCTGTTTCTTGGATAGGTCTGGTGTGTTGCGCCCAAATCTTGATTCGAACGAGTCGCGGCTTCTGTAAGTCAGTAAAGCAGACATGCGTGCGGCTCCAAGCCCGGTCGATGGAGGATCTTCATATGCGTAATAGCCGTCGTCGTATTTGGGGTCACTGTAGATACTTTGCCGTTGCGCTTCGCCCCAGCTGATGCCCCATGCGCTGTAGCGAGCGGAAGTGGCTATCGGGATGATGGTCTTGACGTAGTCTTTTCCGAAGTAGGCAAACTCGAGGACAAGCATACCGCCCATGGATCCTCCAATGACGGCAGCGACCTGCTTCACACCAAGATCATCCAAGAGGAGCTTGAAGACACTGTGCCCGTTAGCGGCTTCCAAGTACGAATTCCAGATTTCGCTCGACTAACTTGACATCGTCTCTTACAGTTGTCAGTGGAAACTCGGGTCCGTACGGACCCAGCGAGACGTCGCCATCTTTTGCTGTGACCGGGCTTGCGCTCCCGTAAGGACTGCCGAGACTGTTCATACAGACGACGAAGAAGCGCGATATATCAAAAGCCTTCCCAGGCCCACCTAGCAACGGTCCCCACCAGTCTCCCACGTCAGCGCTTCCGGTGAGCGCATGGCATATCACCATGGCATTGTCTCCGCTGGGCGCGAGGGTACCGTAGGTCTTGTAGGCAACGCTGACATTGTGTAACACGACGCCGGATTCGAGCGTGACCCGGGGGATGACGGCAAAGGTCTGGTCGGGGATAAGTTTGGCGAACGGATTCTCGGGTTGCGACGACACCGTCCCTACCGCATGTCAGTTTGGATCATGCACCGCCAGAACGCGTCAAGAAAACCCGTCTGGATTCTTCAACATTCCGCATAGCAAATTACAGCAACCAGCCGTTCTTGCTTTGCCTGTCCGAAATGCTTGCGACGGCAAGAAAAGTTCAAAATGCACCTACTGTACTTCGTCGATCCATTGGCAGATCCATAGGTATCCATAGTCGCGATGTCGTACGTGTAGTCGTAGGGAAGAGTGGAGCCTGCGTTGCAGGAAGTCTGGCGTATCGATCACATTGTGGGGAGTCATCACATTGGTGTCGAGTGCTGCTTGCAGACGCCCGCTAGACGAGGCTCGCCAAGACAATGACGTGCTTTTGGGATTTGCCTGGCCCGTATGATGCCCTCGATCTGTCAAACATCAACCATCACCCTTTGCCTAGATTGGTTTTTTGAAGTGTCTGCCCAAGCCTTGATACTCTTGACACTGCTTCCAAAGTTCCCCGCAATGCCCGAGACAAGACTCGAGGCTTCCCTCCGAGTGTTGCCTGTCCGCCATCGTCTAGGATTGTTTTCACTTACTTGGCGACATAATCACTGCTTTGCGCAAAATGGCGTTACCATACGATTTCTCCCATGAGGTTGTGCAACAACACGAAGACTGTCGCCAAACCCTCGAGTGCAATCAAGAGACAGAGTCACCGGCTGCCCGCAGGTGTTTCAAGTTAGATGATTGGACAACAACAGAAAGGTTGAGCTCTCCCGACTTTGATTGCGATGGTCATGAGCAAATTGCAGGTTGTTGTCTGGCTTTTATAGTACACAGAAATATTTTGTTGGCCCAAATACGACTTGTCATCGTCGAATTAATGCATCAACCGACTGGCGCAAAGCGTACTCTGACCAGTCAACGGCTGCAAATGGAAACCAAGCTCACCGTGCACTATATAGAATTCCTGCGATGGGAGCGAAATGAAGGCACCTAAAACAACAAGGACGGACGCAATCACGGCTATGTAGCACGCACCTCTCGCTAACGGACGCCACACGTGGCTTGCGCGTGACACTAGCTCTCCCTGCCCACCCAAACGCGTCCGTATCCAACATCAACCATAATTACTGACATGCGATGCGACGGGTAGTAGTAACAGGCTTAGGGCTTGTAACCCCTCTTGGACTAGGTGACGCGACGTTCACCTTGCTTTGATCCCATTTCTCCTAACGCGGATAGGTGTTCGACGAACCTGGAAGCGTCTGATCGATAGCCAGTGTGGCATCGTTTCCATCAAAGACAGAAGCCCTGAATTCGCGCTGCTACCGAGCCAAGTCGCTGGTCTGGTTCCTCAGGGTAGCAAAACCGATGGCAAATGGAATACAAAGGAGCATCTAAGCCACAGCGTATGTGCCGCCACCCAACGTTCTCGTCTTTGACAATGTTAATTTTATTACAGGATGAACGCCGTATGGCACGCTTCGCACAGTACGCCATGGTGGCGTCCGATGAAGCTCTCAATGATGCGGGATGGTTTTCGAAGGAAGAGGCCGATCTTGAAGTCACAGTACGGAGGCTCAGCATCCGCCCAGCCTGCATCTTACTCACGCCGAGATAGGGAGTGTACATGGGATCTGGTATCGGCAGTTTAGACGATGTGTATGATACCACAATTGCTTATGAGAGAGGCGTGGGTTGTCCCAGCTATCGATCGTAACTGTCAACTGATTGTGCTAGGGTTACCGAAAGGTGTCCCCGCTCTTTGTTCCACGACTGTTGATCAACCTAGCCGCAGGTCACATATCGATGCGTTATGGGTTCAAGGTGGCTATAACCTTCTGGCTATGTTTGTTGATGCTGAGCCATGATAGGGACCGAACCATGCGGCAACAACAGCATGTACGACCGGAGCACATAGCATCGGAGACGCGTCACGTTTGATTCAGTTCGGAGATGCAGATGTTATGATAGCCGGCGGAGCTGAATCATGCATTCATCCTCTCGCCATATCAGGCTTTGCTAGGGCTAGAAGCCTGGCTACTGAGTTCAATGAACGGCCCATGGAGTCCAGTCGACCATTCGACCGAGAACGGGATGGTTTTGTCATTGGAGAAGGAGCCGGAGTTGTGGTTCTCGAGGTACGCGATCGCTGTGTGCAAGGTTGCCGTACCTGTCGTATCTAATCAGGTGCAGGAACTCGAGCACGCAAGGAAGCGAGGTGCGAACATCTATGCTGAAGTCGCCGGCTACGGACTGTCCAGCGACGCACACCACATGACGGCACCTCGCGAAGATGGCCAAGGTCCACGTCTCGCAATGAAGCATGCACTACGACATGCCGGCCTCAAGCCAAGCGCTGTCGACTACGTGAACGCCCATGCGACGAGCACCCCACTAGGTGATGCTGCGGAGAACCGAGCCATCAAAGAGCTTCTGCTTGGCGAAGACGGAAAGGATAGAGCTTGTGAAATCAATGTGAGCAGTACAAAAGGTGCGGTCGGACATCTTCTGGGTGCTGCAGGGAGCGTGGAGACAATTTTCACGATTCTTGGGATGCATCACGTAAGTCAGATGTGGTTCTTGCCATAGCCTACATGTTGACGATGACCAGAACATCCTACCTCCGACTCTCAATCTTGAGAATCCAGGAGATCCGGCGGTTGACTTTAACTGCAACTACGTCGCCAATGCTGCTCAACAGCACAGAGTCAATGTGGCTCTCTCGAATAGCTTCGGTTTTGGTGGCACCAACGCATGTCTATGCTTCCGCAAAATCTGAGAGTCGACGATAGTTCACCATATACAATACGAGCTTCTGATCGTCAAAACTTGATGCCGAGGTTTTGTGGATTCGCGACTATTAGTACACCATGATGCTAATTACCCCGCCAGAGGGTCACGATAACAGCTGCTAGCCCCACTTGGCGTCATTTGCATCCCACGGTGCTCTGCGATACTTACCTTCCAAGCTTCATTATAGGTACCTCTCTAAACTTCTTTCTCTTTCTATCACACTTCGATCGCAATTTCTCGTGTCCTTTGTTACGCGCGAGAGCGAGATCTGGTAGAATGGCAACCTCCCGCCCCTCATCTGTAGTGGGTAGCGATGCAGGGAGCAAATTATCATTCTTTCGCAATGCATCCAACAAAGCATCTGCATATCATGCGCAGACACCCTACCTCAGAAGGCTCCCATTCGCGGCAATCGCAATCATCATCACCCTCGTCGCTGTAAACCTCCTTGTTTGGGCGGCAGTTGGTATAGTCTTAGTAAGTAAAGAAGGTGAATCCAAATGGCGTTGATCGCATATGCTAAACGTCGGCAGCACTGGCATACGCCACTGATCTCGACAGCAATCCTCTCGTACACTCTGGGCTTGCGCCATGCCCTGGATGCAGATCATATTTCGGCGATCGATCTCATGACTCGCCGTCTGGTTGCTGCAGGCCAGCGGCCAGTGACGGTTGGAATGTTCTTCAGTCTCGGACATTCTACCATCGTCATCATCACGTCGCTCATCGTTGCAGGAACTGCAGCGGCGGTGTCAGACAAGTTTGACAATTTCGAGCGTGTCGGTGGCATCATCGGCACTTCTGTCTCTGCTGCTTTCTTGTTGCTCCTTGGTCTTATGAACATCTACATTCTGTACAAGCTCATAGTACAGATGCGAAAGATGGTTTCGAGCGACCCTGGTAGTGAGCACGAACAGTTCAAGATACAGGGCGGCGGTTGCCTCTTCCCGATATTGCAGAAGCTCTTCAAGTTGGTCGACCGACCCTGGAAGATGTATCCTCTGGGTGTACTTTTCGGGCTAGGTTTCGACACTTCTTCCGAGATCGCTATCCTAGGAATAAGTTCGATTCAAGCCACGAAGGGGACATCAATTTGGCTGATCTTGATCTTTCCACTGCTCTTCACAGCAGGCATGTGCCTTCTCGATACCACCGATGGTGCGCTGATGATGAGTCTGTACACAAGCACGCAACTTGCGCGCGACCCGATCGCCATTTGCTACTACAGCATTGTGCTAACAGTCATTACCGTGGTTGTCGCGACCATCATCGGGATAGTGCAGTTCCTCAATCTGGTGCTCAACGTTGCCGAGCCGCATGGCAAGTTTTGGGAAGGCGTCGAAAAGCTGGGCGATGCTTGGGATATAGTTGGTGAGTTGATTGATCGCACTAAAAGAATTCGACACTAACAGGATGCAGGCGGAGCTATATGCGGTACATTTATCGTTTTCGGTGGTCTCAGTGTTCTGCTGTACAAGCCTTGGAGACGTCGCATCGATAGGAAAAGAGTCAACAATGCGCACTTTGAGCCATTACCCCAGGAAAATGATGTGCGCGGCTCCGACGAAGAGCACAACCGAGGGATCGTCCCATCGAGTACGACACAGACAAAAGCGGTGGAGGTGAACATCGAGCCAGTAGAAGCCATAGGCGCTGGTCCTGCACGTTGTTGAAAACTTTGTGTCAACAGCACCAGACGTCGACCCTTCAATTTGATATTACCTGACAACCTGCCTATATCCTTTACCTCTTCCGATCCCGAGACCATTTTCCGTCAAACTGCGGACTCATACATGTCAAGTCGAGCATTCTCCCTGCGGAATCTTTCGAATACGCTATGACGTCCTGAAGAGCACACGAGACCGCTGCAGAGATCTGTTGGAGCTGGCCGTTCGAAGTGATGGTGTATGAGTAGTCTGTCAGAGTCATATGCATCGATTGAAAAAGGCAAATCGTGTATATCTGAGGAGGTGCGATCTTTTGGACCGAAAGTCGGGTTCGTGTACGGTAGAAGCAGACTGTATATGGGTGATGACATGGACGGGCGTGGAAATGAGCGGCAGCTGCCGAACCTATGTGTCTATGATGAAAAGGCGTGTTTGGTGACCTGCAACTTGATTGGGTCTGAGTGATTGTGGATGATGGCGCTGCTGAATTGGGACCGAAGGAATGCCGCAGGAGGCTGTCCATGCTTTACAAGAAGAGGGGAAGACATTGAAGAACTCTTTGTTACGCACTCAAACCACTGTCTCTTATGATGAATCACCATGATGGGCACAGAGACGAGTTGCGCATTAGAGACAACACATGTTTGTCTTTCTACTACCGCTCACGGCGTAACTTTAGCTCTTCAAGATTGTACACAACCATGAGAACCTTGGTGCCAACTCCACCTTTTATTAGCTTGGAGTCAAGCTTGCGCGGCTTTCAAACCTCCCACTCTGCAATCTTCAGGACAGCTTCTTGAGTGCCAAACACACGCAATGTATTGCCAAACTCGTTCCAAAACTCTGAATCAAAGGCTGGGATGAGCTCCATTGGCTGTCGCTTAATCTGCTCCAACGGCACCCATCCCGTCTTATCTTGGACGTAGACGTCATTTTCCCATGACCCGGCGACGTCTTGAACCTGTTCGTCCCATTTTGCAAGTTCACTATCTTCAGGAAGCTTAACCTCTCCGTCATCTTCAGTCGAGGAAGATTCGGCGTCAGGGCTCAGAGCTTTGAGCGTGTCGAATAGGTTCTTAGTTTCGAATCGTTGTTGTCTTGCCTCCTTTTTCCTAGCCTTGGCCCTTTGTTTCTTTGTTTTCTTGGGTTGAGGCTGCTCCACTGGGGGCAGGGGAACGGGCAGGTCGACCTTCTCGCGTCCATCTTTTAGAAAATCCTGAACATCTTCCGCCAACACTCCTTTCGTTTTGTTACTGGAACGGCTGGGCAATGGCGCCGGAACCTGTTCTCCTCGCTCCGCACCAAGCTTGGCGGCGAGCCTGATCATGATGGTGGCAGTAAGGAGGCTGTCATAGCCTGCTTCGTGGAAGGCCTCGGTCTCTTGGTACTTCGGATGGTCGGCATGCGTGACGATGTGGGGCAACGGCTGCAGACTTGAATTCTCGGCAATATCCTGTAGTGTAGGGGAGGCGTTGAGGTCGCCTTCAGCATGAGTCGCTAGATATTTAGTGTCGATGATGTTGGGGAACAGCTCATGGATGGCATCCTGGAAGCCTTGCAGGGTATCCTGTACAGAGTTAGCGCGTTGACCAGATGAGGAGATGTTGCACGTGCAGGCAGTTGGCCGACAAAAGTACGATAAAAGTAGACAATGTCAGTGAACATGTTGTGGCCGACTAGCACGGGCTGCTTAATTTTAAGTCTCTCTATGGCTCTGTCGTAGCGATCCCTTATATCATGTGCGTCGGCAGTGACGATGGTGCCAGTAGTGCGTGCGACATAGAGTGGATCCGCGCGATTGATGTCGCCGCCCTTGACTAAAGCCTCGAAGACCCAGCGGAAGCCGGTTTGTCGGACAATGGATTCTTTGACGCGGTTCTTGATCCTGCGCATATTGTCGGCCTCACGCACAGGGTCTAGATGGAGGATACGAACACACTCTCCGCGTCCTATGGACACCAACTCTGGGAACTCTGCGCGCACGAGCTGATGCACGAGACGCTTCTCGAATCGCGTGATGACGGGTATTACGGGCGGAGTGGAAAGCCCTGTATGAGTTGTAATGTCCAAGGACGACGAAGTGCTAGATTTCCATTTCTCAATGGCTTGCCTCACCCTGCGCATAAAGTCGAGCGACTCGACATCTGCCGAGTTAAGTTGCAGATCGGGTATGGGATTCTTGTTCTCGAGTCGATCCCAGGCCATGCGCTTTGCTCGCTCTGCTTCGTCGCGGGATAAGTACTGTACGCCTGTGGCAAATGGAGCCCCCAGGTCGAAACCATTGTTGAGGAGGAAGGTACACGCGCCGCTCTGAAACTTGATCTCACGCTCAAAGTCGATGCGCTCGTCGAAAAGCGGGCTGATGTTGATGTTGTAAGGCCTCAAGACATAGGTGTTGGCAAGGTAGTCGAAGCGCGCGCAGGTGATACCTACCTGTAGGATCTGATAGCGGTCGGCGCCCATTTTGGTCTCGGCATAGCGCTCCTCCATGGTGAAGCGGGCCGGGCCATGTGCAGGTTTGTCTTGGATGCGCGATGGAATGCCGGACAGTTCGAGATCAAAAGACACAAAGTCGGCCTCGGATATGTGGATGAAGATGGCCAGCAAGTGGTGCGGGAAGGTAGCTGCGTCGACGTCCATGATGGCGAGACGCGTAGAGATGGTCGTGGAGGTTAGCAGCGATGGATCAAGCGACAAAGCGCGTGTCTAGCTCCTGCCTCTGAGCTTGACGCAGGCAAGCGCGTGTCAAGCACCTTGACAACCAGTTGACGTCTGCAGACTGATGCAAACGCAGATAGCTCGGGGTGTCGGAGGCAGGTGACGCGCCAAGGCGGTTCGGGTGAGGTGAGGTCAGCCGAGGTTCGAAATGTTGACACCGGGCGCTCCGTCACCCACCGCTGTGCGCTCGTGAAGCTCAGAGGACATCGAAACATGGCGACGCTCTACGACGACGTCAGCGGGTCGCGCTACCTCTCATCATCCATCTCGTCGCTCTCGACGTCACGGCAACAGTCGTCGCAGATGGCCAAAGCCTACCGACAGGCTGCCCAGCTGTTCCTGACGCGACGCCTCCCCGAGGCGCTGTCGACCATCGAGCCCATCATCAGCCCGCCGCCAATCGACGCGGCCGACGTCGTGGGCCACGCGCCCGTCGCGACGGCGTCGCGCGGCACCCGGGTCAAGGTGTGGAGCTTCTACCTCACCTTCCTCAACGCCGTGGTCGAGCTGGGCGCCGAAGAGGGCAAGCACGCCTTTGGCAGCACGCGATGGAAGCACTTGGTCTCGCAGTGTCGCGACGGCAGCATCTGGGACCACGTGGTCCGCGACGGCTATGCGGGTGTCGAGGGCGACGTCGACGCCGACGTGGTCGTCAACCTCGCCACCCTCCTCCTTACCCATGCGCCCTCGCAGCGGCTCAACCAGCAGAAGCTCGAGACGTACCTGTCCGCCACGGCCAACCCGGCCCCCGACGCCTCCGCACACCTGTCTGACACCCCGCGCGACCTGGAAAAGCGCATCAAACTCCTCGAGCTCTACACCCTGCACGTCCTGCCACGCAACGACGAATGGGACTATGCCCGCGACTTCATCGACATGTCCGAGGTGCTGGACCAAGAGCGCAAGGAAGCCTTCCTGCTCGCACTGCACTCTCTCAAGGAAGAAAAGGAAGACACGCAAGCCCGCGAAGAGAAGCTGCGCCAGCAACAACAGGAGCAAATGGACCAGCGCCGCAGAGAAACCGAGGCCCAGCGCCTCGACCAGGCGCGCGCACAAGACGAACGCCGCATACGCGAGGAACAAAACAGACGCCAACCCCGCGCCTCAGACGAGCCACAACCCACGCCATCGCAGTCTTCCCGCACCTCCCGAACGCCCGCCAAGAAACCAGCCACGCCGCCGCCCGGCCTCTACAACCGCGCGTCTACCATGTTCGCAAACATGCACACCCTGATTTCCGATACGGCCCATCACATGACTTCCAATCCCATGGCTTTCTTCCGTACCTTACTTTTCTTGTTGGCGTTTGGCTTGGCGTTTGGCAGGCGCCCTCTTAGAGAGAGGATACTACGCATCATACGGAGTGCGTGGGACAAGGTGAGACGTACCGTAGGAATGGGCGTCAAGGTTTCCTACATCTAACCTGTCTGCCATATGTGGGTCCGGTTCTTATGGTTATATATTCTTCTTTCTAAACATTACTACCGTCGGTCATGCTAACCTCTTGCAATACTATCATGCTCTTCGTCTTCGTCCTTGGTGTCGGCCCTGTCATATCACATACGCTAGCCTTCATTGCAGCCTTGGCCTGTCCCGGGCTAATGCCATTGCGCGTGTCTTCCCACATTCCAGACATTAGCCGTTACGGAGACAGAGCTGTTCAAAAAGACTGCCCATCCTTTGCATATGACTACGTTCGTACTGGAACGCAACCAAATCCATGCGCTTACTGGACCTTGTGTCTGGAACCCAGTGTCTTCCTTCTTTGCTTGATCATGTAGGTGTACATGGTGTAGGAACCTAATAAGATGTGAATTTCGAGTATAAACAAGCCGCCATAAAAGAATCATACCTGGAATGTACAGCAGCAAGCAGAAGTAGAAGACGAGCGGTATGACTGGGCTGACCTTCGCTCCAGGAGCAATAGACCGGTACAGTAACCACCACTCAGCCCCGATACCGACCGGATAGAGTGGGTAGAACATGGTATACCTGGGACAGTCAGCTACCTAGGTAGGACCAAGTAGCGGATGAGGTGGCTTGAGAACATACCGGAGCCACACCAGTCCTCTCGGGGCTTTCCCGTGCATGTTGACCGCAAGATACAGGTACCGGATGGTGTCTGCGACCGACCAAGCAAGGAGCAAGGCAAGATAAGCATGCGAAGTTGCTGTGCTTTGCGGAAAGCTGTACCACACCATCCAAACCTGTATGACGCGTGTAACAACTTGAAGTGCGGTTGTGCTGACTGGAGATTTGATGACACCTGGTATCGTTCTCAATGAGATGCACAAGAAGAGGTAGGAATGATGAACATACCAAACGCCGCATGTAAGACTTCTATCAACGAAGCGGTCTGCATCCATCGCGCATATGACTCTGTTGCATCAAAGAGCTCGAATTTGCTATTTCGAGCATTAGACACGGCTCGAACGAAGACCGATGCCCATAGCGATGCGAAGAGGACGTTGTATGCAGTAAGGTAAATCGTGCGAAATTGCCATGTCACTGCTGGCGTAGTAAGCTCCATACGTTGGTTAGCCATTCTCGCTCCTGCCGCTCAGGATTTAGTTGGTGACACTTCGAGGCATGAGTGAACACATTGCGCAAGCAGAAATTGTCGTCGTGGTTTCCATCGGCCACCAAGTCAAATGTAGGCGATGAGCCGAGGCTAACTCGGTGTAACTCCGCTACTGAAGAGCACTCGTAACCTCTCGTTTCAAACTTTGAAACACTCTGTGTAAGGATATCTATGATTTTAGCTTCTAGCTTCCGCTTTTCTTCCTCCAATTCTTAGGCGCAAGCGCGAACTTCAGGTGTCGTCTGCTGCATTGGCTAAGGTCGGTTGGGCACTGGCCAATCGGAAACACGTAATGACTGATTGCAGGCTGCCACTGGGAACTGCTTACCATTCAACAGAAGCGTATCAAGCAGCACCTGTACCCAGATGTGTACTACGACCACAAAGAGCAAGACGGGCACGAGCTCGCATCACATGCCAGTATGTTACTTCAAACCCCTACAAGCATTGCAGACGCCTGGCTGAATTGCTCGCCTAGACCGCTGTTTGGAAAGCTTGCGACAGCCACTTACATACCTACCCGGTGTACCTGACTACACTCTTGAGTATACGCCCCATGGTCGCGTCAAGCCGACTGTACGTGTGGCGCAAGCTCATGCACGCGTCCGCTAGTCTGCGCTACCCGAATGAATATCAGGAAAAGCGGGTGAACTCAAAGATATGGTCTCTCTATATCTGTTGTAAGCTTCAAAAAGCAAAAGGAGGTAGTGCGACCATGTCCAAGCACTCTGCATGCATCACTAAAGCGGCCTCTGTTGTTGCAACTTCAAAGCAGGTACATGTAATGGCGAAATAGCTTTCTTGGGCGGCATACATGCCACTGATCTTTCCTCTTTTGCTTTCATGAATAGGGGTGTTGACGAAGTATGGACTTTTGAGACGCTGAGTCGTCCAACCCCGGCGACGGAGATTCGCCAACAATAGTAGGAAATTGTTCTTCCACGCGCTGAGTCCATCGAATCTCCCCTTCTTGTCCATCCTGTTCCCCATCATTCAATGCGTTCGGGTGAGTTGGCGAGTTTATCGCACATAGCTCTACGACTGTGCCATCAATCTCGGCATCCACGATTGCGGATAGGCGATATGGATCCTTTGTATCGCGAGATGAGGCTTTGCCTCGCGGTTGTGCTGTATTAGAGGCATTACTTTTGTCCTGCAATGACTTGTAGCTTCGTTTGCTCGTAGAGTTGTAAGTGCTGCGGTCTGTGGTGTAGCTTGAAGGAATATTCGTAGGCATCTTGAACCCGTTCTGGCAGTATCGTATCAGGTTTCTGATTGTGGGGACGGCAGCGCATATATGTGCAACTCCACTGGAGGTGAATCCAGTAATCGATGTGCCAGTCACTGTGTAGGTTGGGTCGATAGTGTCGACAACCCCTGGTAAAAATGGCAAGCGTACGATGGACATGATAATAACACTTCGGAAGGGTTAGATTACACAAATCGAACAAGACCAAGACAAGACGTACCAGATACCAAGGCTAAAGAAGATGAGTAGCTGTATCTTCTTTGCAGTCTTCATCTGCAGCTTCCATACAATCGGGATAGGAAGACTGAATAGGATAGTCTCAGCGATGATCTCGTATACAACCGTCAGTCTCAAGACGGCAATATAGTCGATGCATTTCGCGGTTTCTTGCTCTTGAAGATTCCAGATAGCGCGGACTGGAATACATTGGAACGCAGCCAGGAAAAGTAGGGGCAGGGTGAACAGAGCCGTAAAAGCCATGAAGGCGAAGACCGCGCGCTTCAACCAGACGTTCGGAAAAATGCGAATATACAAGCAGAGAATGCTGTACTTTATGAGAAGCAATTCGACACCCCACAAGATGGTAGCAATATAGGCTGTCTATAGTCAGTACTTATGTATCAAAGCTAGCAGATGGAAGCGTACTCCATTTGCCGATTGCGACGACACGTGGATATGTCAGGTCCCATATATGATGGCCGAGTCCCGCTTTGAGGTTCAATAATAGGGCAACAGTCATAGGGATGACCAGGACCTGCACAATCGTAAGTAAGATGACACTGATTTGTCCATCGAACACCTACCACCGCTGCTAGATGGAGCCAATCGTCCCACCAGAGCTTATTGCTGCCCACATATCGAGAAGCAAAGCGCATTACAATCACAATGATTGGTATGATTCCAGTCACGTATGCCACTATCCGGATGGAGTTCGATAGGTTATCGTGCGGCTTGTCGCAAATAGAGGCTTGAATGCGGAGCGTAGCTACAAACACATCAGTGATACCGCTTCCGATCACTGCGACGAACATACCAAAGGTCTCGTTGTAGTTGCACTGCTTTTCCAAGCACGGTTGCAAAATCTTGGTCGAGTTTTTGGAATTACATTGGCACTCTATGTCGAGGAGCGTACAGCCAATGGCAGGCAGGTTTTCGTTGATACAATCTAGCTTTGCAACAGTCAGCTGCAACAATCGTCCTCTTGTGCCATGTATATCTTACGGCGCATGGCGGAATCTGGCTCAATGCATCCAGTGCCGCATCGTCTAATGAGACAGCATTCGTCGTGGGGCAACAGGCGCTGACCAACAGCACAAAGGTAAACACTAGGTGCGGGAACAGAAGGAGCATTTTGACAAGGTAGTTTACGACGATGTGCACGGGTAGCAATAATTGCTTTTCGTGCTGGGGTAGAATGCAGAGTCCGCTGTAAAAGCCACAACACATGAGCGCACGGGCGAGGCCATGTAACCTCGCCGAATCTACCCAATTCCTAAACTGACTCAGTTATCATATGCTATGTGCCGTTGGTGTCAACTTCAATTTGCCGGTGGCGGGTGGATTAGGGCTCGTCACGAAACGGGTTCGACGCAGTTAGTGGAGCTTTGTTTACGTCCAAGGAAGGGATAAGCCTGTCATCAAGCTGCCACTCTATGTCTCACAACGGCGCCCAGTCTTACCCACTGGTGAAGTGGCAGTGAGCAATCTTCCAAGGCCTGCTTCAGTTCCTCTACTAGAGTGAGATCGCAACGATTAGCGATGGAGATGATCTTTCCTTGAGTATCCACAAAATCGTATGCCACACGATCTCCACAACGGCTGGCTTGATCCGCTGCACCACGGCGGTGCAGGGTCGCTCGAGTCAGCCCTAAAGAGCTGGCGCATGTACCGGTGGATTCAACCCCTGGAAGCAATCATTGCTCCATCCCCGCAAAGCCGATCGGATAGCCCGCGATCAATTGTTCTTGATGACCAGGTCATGTTCGCCGAGCTATCGGTCATGTCGGCAAAATCCTCGATTGCGCAAGTGCTGCAAGCACCGCTGAGTCGGTACGCTAATGTTTTGATTGGCTGAGTGACATGAGAATTGCGCTACCATCGGAAGTGCATCAAAACACCTGCTTGCCGGCTCGCTATACCTTCTCCGACGTATCTATGCGCAGCACTTTATTCTGCTAGAATTCTGCTCGAGGCCCTGCATCGCGGAGGATAAACAACCCGGGAGCTAGCCTGCATCTAATTTTGGAAGTTGCCGAACGCACCACGAATGGCATATCGTGACGAAAGTGCGGCTGTTTATCGTGAGCCACCAATACTTGTCTTTCAGGCGACCCATCCCACCTCGTCAAGATGAACCTGTATAGTATAAAACCATAACATATCGAGGTGACCTTTAATTGGCCCACTCAACTCACCTACGCCCTTTCCAGTTCCACGTTCCTGACAGGCCATGTCCAGGCATGCCTCTCATTGGCAAGTAGAGTAGTAGCAACTTCCCGTAGCTCCGCATCGCTTAATGCTTGTGTTCCGGACACTCGTTTGCAACGCTACCTAGGTACACCAGAAAACCAGTACTAGCAAATATCAACAGCGCAGCCATCGCACCCTGCATGACACTCGTGATTGCGCCACTGCATATTGTTTCTTTCAAAAAGCGATGGCTATATCTGAAGACGACTTCACGAAGCCGGCACAGTTGTCAATGCCCATCACTGCTGATGTGAGAGACTTTCGCTGTATCGGAGTGATGGTGAATCTAGCTTTGTCGTAATTGGTTATCGGGTAAACACTAGATAAAAACGTACTTCCAGTTCGGGGCACCGTACAATTCTTTGGATCCAAGTAGCTTACGATAGGAACGTTCTCGAACCTGCGGTCTACCTTAATCCGCCCATTAGAGGTGATATAGGGTTCATCGAATAGGTGTCGCTCGTTGGGTATCGTGGCAGTAACGACATTGTTAGTGGTGATCGACAGGTGTCCGGTAAAGTTTCTGTCACCCATTAGCGCAAATGGCGGGCTTATGATGAGCACTAAACCTACGAAGTGTTCGGCTGTACTCTCGTCGCGCCGCAGAAAGACCTGCTGGATGGGTCATTGTTGATTATCGACAATTTAATTCTAGGCCAGCATACCTAGGTAGCATGGACAGCCAAAAGACGCTTAGGACCGTCTGTACTACCGAGGTACGATGCTTCTAGCTGCTCCGAGCTGTTCAACATGTAACACTTTTCCTCTATATTCTAATTGTAACACGAGCCCAGTAAGGTCGAGCTTCGGGCCCTCGCGACATTGCCAGCGTGACTTGAACAACATCAAAGCTATCGCAATCATACCGTGTACCAAAGTACAATCTCAATGACCCAGCCCGAACCAGGACCAGACCGCAGTCTAAGTCTAAGGCGCACTGCACTCTATGCTTTCTATTCTTTTTGAATTCGATGGCTTTCTTTGACATGTTACATTGCCGAACTACCCAGTTAGCGCGGTGGTTCTGGGCTTGCCATGTATTGTAGACTATCGTGCGACAGCTGCCGCTACTCTCCTGATGGTAGATTTTTTCCTGTTCTCGGTGCTTCCATCCTTCTGCGAAGTGGCATTGTCGGGACTGAGGCAAGTACGCTTTCTAGCCGAGATTACTCGTGTGGCATCGTTTGCAGGGGCTGGGCATGAGTTCGTTCGGGCTCACATCGTAGTGGTCGGGAATACCTAGGTACTCTTGCATTCTTCAAAAACTCAGTGACTTGCGTAATAAGCACTGGGCATTGCTCATCAGCTAAATGCGGAAGGAGACGGGAAAAGTGACATGTACCTACCCAACGAGAACGCGGGCGAGCTCCCCGTATCCGCGAGTCATGCTTACGCTAAGCGCGCCCTTCGCCTAACATCCATGGATCTGAATCTTACAAAGATGCTACAAAAGCTGGAGAGTAGGCGCAGCATTACCTGGGTAGACATCCCGTTGATCCAGGTTCCGGAAATTGAGACATAATGTGTGCTACCAGGACAGACTTCGCAATCCCACGGCCTGGCGGAGCATTCCAACAAAAACCGCCTATCCCAGGTCCCTCAGAGTCATCTTTTGTTTCCACCTTTGGCGCCATCCTTCCACCCGCGCAATACCTGCAAACACAAGATGGAAAAGCTGCATACTACTCGATACCACCTTCGGTACCCTCCATAGACGCGCAGACGACAGATCACGTGCTGTTCGTTCATGGCATCCAGACTCCGGCAATAGGACTGCTACCTCTGGCTCGCGCTCTACACGATATCCTTCCACACTCACATTTTGTGCTGGTGGATCTCTGGGGTCACGGCTTAAGCGATACGCCGATAGTTCCGCATCAAGCCGCCACATTCCATAGGCTGCTAGATGCGCTGCTCGATCATCTACAATGGCCATCGGCACATTTCATCGGCTTTTCCTTTGGCGGCTCACTAACAGTCGGATATGTTGACTCACGGCCACATCGCGTCAGCAGTTTTACGCTCATTGCGCCTGCTGGGCTTCTTTGTATTTCATCTTTTCCAGAAGAGGATCAGCATCATCTTGATTACGGTGTCGATAACGATAACGATGAACTGAGCAGAGTCATCCTGCAGTTTCTCGAAGGCGGCCGGCTGGTAGTACCAAGTGACTGGAGGGAAAGAGCTGGAAGAGGCGAAGTTGTTGCGGAGGCAGTGAGGGAGTGGCAGATGCACGAACATCGTGGTCATACATCATCCGTGATTGCAGCGTTTAGAGATGGCGGCGCAATGAACAATCACGGTGCGTTTGAAAAGGCCGCAATGTCTGGTATACCATCATTAGTGGTACTGGGCGAGAACGATGAAGTTTGTGCAGAGCAAGAGTTGAGAGAAATTGGCTTTGATAGCATCTTTGTTGTCCCACAAGCCGGCCATAGTGTTGTACGAGAACGGGTGCCGGAGGTGGCTGGGTTTATCGCGGACTTCTGGGATAGGTTGAGGATCAATAAGAACTAGTGAACGCGGAGGTGAACGCGGAGATCCTTGCACTTACTCTATGATCAATTGCGCCTACTCGCCTCCTTACAAGAATCGGATCTGACTGCTTTAGTGCTCTGAACAAGCCGAAAACCACAGGAACCAGTTCACTTTGACGACAATAGCCACTGTGTCAGATGACGCCGCCAATAGCGGCACATCATAGTGTCCCCACTCATTCAAGAACTCGGACAGCGGCTCTACGCCTGTGAGCCATCGACAACCTCCACAAGCACCCCAAACCCCAGCCCGTGTAGTAAAGATCGATGGCATAGCCGTCAGCTCTTCAGATAAGCACGTACCCACCATCTCGACGGGCGGTGAACGACTATGGGTTAATCTGTCAGAGCTCAACTCGATCGCCAAGGTTGCCGCATACGCCAATCTTCAGGACCTTCATCTGACGATGGGTGCGCAGTATGATGCGCTTCTTGGCTAAGTACAACAACATGAGATACGACGAGGCAATTGAT